CGTGTGGACCTAAAATGTTAGTAAATAAGGCAGTCATAGAGAAATAAGAATGTTTGCTATCATCAAAATTATAAAACATAGATCCGCAACAGTCTGCAGAAGAAGGTATCGTCGGCTAAGTGCATCGGCAACCTAATTGCTATGTTTGGATTTGTGTTTTAGGACATAATGGAATGCGGATAAAAATTCAGATCACTTTGCGTGTCATGCCTTTAGTTTCTTTTGATGACTGAGGAAGTGAAGAGCTTCATGATCAGAAAAAAGCACAAATTCATTGGCCAACAAGTAGTGATTCCAATGTTGTAAAGCCCGCACTATAGCGTAGAATTCTTTGTCATAGGTTGAGTATTTTCGTCCTGCATCACTCATCTTTTCATTAAAGAAGGAAATCGGATATCCACCTTGTGTAAGCACCGCCCCAATGCCCACATTCGATGCATCACACTTTCCCTCAAAAGCTTGATTGAAATCAGGCAATACCAAGGTGAGAGTCAAAGATAATTGCATTTTTAGAGAGTCAGAACTTTATTATTCTTCTTTGTTCCATTCAAACTGATCAACCCTTAGAATTTCTATCATCGAGGCAACAATTGAGCTAATTATTTTAATAAATCTCCTATAGAATGATGCTATCCCATGGAACTTTTGAAAATCTATAAAGGATTGTAGGACTGGCTAGCTACGAACTACATCAATTTTGGTTATATCCACATTTAAACGTTCAGCTGAAAGCTTGTTGTCTGGCATCCACTATGCAAGTCTAGCTTGGAGAAGATGGTCGTGCCCTACAACTGGTCGAAGATATCATCAATGCAAGAGATAGGAAATCTATACTTTACTGTAATTTTATTGACAGCCTTGCTGTCAATGCACATTCTATAAGTCCCATCCCTGTTTGAAACCAACAAGGCGGGAATGGTACAGGGGCTGGCACTATGCTGCATAAAACCCTTGTCTAGATGTTCCTCAACTTGACGTTTGAGTTTTGCTTGCTCATCAGGCCGAAGTCTATAAGCGGGGCGATTAGGAATAATAGATCTGTGCACAAACTCAATGGCATACTGAATTTACCATTCATATGGTAGTCTAGAAGGAAGAATGTTAGTGAGTATGTCTTGGTATTTATCCAAGATATCTTGTACAATAGCTGGAAAACTGCAATTAGTTTCATTGGCAAGCATTATCACTAGCAAAAGCAAAGTTTTAGCTTCCCTGAGAGCCTCCAAAAATAGGGATTGCATTAATAATTGTGGGTTCTATTTGGTTGATGGAGGCCCTTGAAGGGGGACCAATACGATCTGCTTGTTTTAATATTTGAATGATTAGGTGTTTTCTGCACCCCCATTGAAAGACTGATTGGCTTCCTTGTTCCAAGGCATCACTCCTATAGCTTTCCCGTCAAGTTTCTTGAAGTGGTTCCAATCCACCTCATCTTCTTGGACGGATTCCTTACCCCGAGCCCACTTATTTGTGCTTTGTTGCTTTTCCACTTTAAGGGCTAGATTGAAGACATCCTATAGTGTCAAATACAATTTCAATTGGTCAATGTTGGTGATCTACGTATGCAGTCCCTCCAAGAACCTGGCAATGGTATTCTCCTCGGGCCCAGACAAATTGCACTGGAGAGTAATTGTTTGAATTCATCAATGTAATCTTCAACTGTGAGTTGATTTTGTTGTAGATGATGGAGCTTTAAGAACAAATATTGACAATATTTTTCTGGTAGATACTTATGCTGAAGTTCATTCTTCATTTTGGCCCATGTCATAATCTTACTTCGCCCTTCTCGGTTTCTATTTTATTTTAAATTTTCCCACCATAGGAGGCTCTTTTCTTCAATTTAATGGCGACGAGCTTGAGAACTCAATTTTGTGAAATTTCTTTAAAACCAATTACTCTTTTTACGGTGTATATTTACTTCACAAACTCGTCCGGGTCCAACCTACCATCAAACTCTGACAAGTCTATCTTTACTCCTCCATCATCCCGCAGGTGTCTTGCGCGATCAGGCATGATCCATCTTTCATCATCTTTGCTATGAAGATCTTGATGAAATGGATTGACCTCTTCTTCGTCTTCTTGTATGTCTTCCAATTCTCGTTGTTCAAATCTTTCTAATCATTGTTGAAGATGCTGGATTTCTCTTTGTAAGTCTTCAATGATTACATCTCTCATCGACCATTATAGATTTCTATGAGGCAACATCTTCGCTAGTTCTGATACCAAAATGATGCCATCCCAATGACTGGAACATCGAACTTGTAACCACCCGAAGAAAGAAACAAATTTATCGCTCGGATTGAACCCCTGGCCGAAGATCACTTCTTCCACGCCGGGGTTACTATCACCACCTATAACAAAATAGGATATAGAACAACTCTAGGAAAAGAGTAAGTGAATTTCAAATCCCAAATCATATGTGGCAGCCTTTATTCCATCATACCTTTATAGTTACAACTGGGAACAAAACAAAGAAAGACAAAAGAAAAAGCCACATAAAAGGATACACAAAAACTATCATAACAAAGGAACATACAGATAATTAATCAAAAGACACCCCGGTGTCACTTTCTTTTTATTTTTCTTAAAAATTACGCAGCCTCCCTATGTCCCCTTCTTGTGAAGGAAGGTTAGGGGGCACTTTCCTTTCAAATTTGCCTAAATAGATCAAAGATTCAATGGCCAAGGCTTAGGGATAATTATTGGTCCTGGCATAGGTCTTTAGTGATTTTATTAGATATACTTGTTTATTATTATTATTTTTTATCCTTTTTCTTTTTTAATAAGCACCATTGCAAATTCATATACTCATAACACAACACCAGGTCGATCTGGTCATAGGAGTAGGAAACTAGGTGGTCGGGCTAGTTGGATTGATTGGATGGGGCAGATACAAGAGATCAGGCTAGCTTAGGGGATCACGTATAAGAGCATGAAGCTATAAAAAGGTCACTCAGTTCAAGTTCATTCATAGAAAGATGATGAGAGTGGGTTAACAGGTTGACTTGGACGTGAGTCTTGCTTGCAATCAAATAGAGATCAAGTGAGAAATCCTTTATTTGGGCTCTTTTACGCAGCCAGATGAGTGAATGAGGGAGGGAGTTGGGGTCTTATGTGTGGGATTGAGGCTTATATAGGATGGAGTTTGGAGAATGAGTGGGTTGCAATTGAGTTCTATATGAAGAGTCAAGCGAATAAAAGGGAGCATACGAGAGAGAGAGAGAGAGAGAGAGAGAGAGAGAGAGAGAGTATGTGTGTGTGTGTGTGTGTAAGTGAGGGCCAAAGGTTGAGGCTTCTATGTACATCCATGAGTGAATGAGAGAGGGATTGGGCATCTCTATGTTAAAATAAATCGAATGAATCCTCTTAACCTATTGTGCATTTAATTTTAAGTAAATGAGTGAGTACTTGTGTTAATTGAGAAAATAGTTACATCGTTTGGGGAAAATACAAGTGGCTTGGGGCCGATCATTATGGGGATCGTATGGCTGAAGGGAACTCAGGGGAAGATCAACTCTACAGGTTGGTAAGTGGTTAAAAAAAAAGAAAAAAAAAAGAGAGATATAATTTAAATGGGCATGGAAAGATAAACTAAAGATCCCTTGAGTAGGCACATTCTTATAGTTTATTTGGATTTGTATAAGTATGGCTACTTTCTCTAGAAGATAGTGAGTGATCATGGAGGCTATTTTCTCATGCGATAGGTGTCGAGGTGATTTCTTGGTAAGAGACTTGAACTGTCCCCTATAAGGGATGAGCTCCCTCGATAGGCCTAGACAATTAGTTCCTATTAATCATTTGGGAAAATTCTTGTGTGTTCAAGGCTTTAAACTTTTGTCAAGTTCTCTTATGGACTCCATTAGGTGGGACTTCTTTCATTGTAATTCATCAATGACCTATTGAGTACCTATGAAGGTATACGCAAGTATACAAAAACAAAATCAAAATATATACTATAATCTCATTTATAAACACTTAAATACTAATTCATAGCACATTTTAGATAAAGTTCTCAATGTAATGTTTTATATTAAGTAATGACCAAGCTCTTAGCTAATAGGCACATGCAAGTTCTTCTTTTGATTATAAATCTAGTTAAACTAGTACCTTCATGTATAATAAAAGAATTATCAATACTTCTACTAAAGCTTAATAAATAATTATGAATTTTCATTTCCTTAAGTGTACTATATATTTTTGTTCTGAAATTTATTAGTATAAGATTCTAAACAATGTTAATAGGTATGCTTTGTTTTCAAGATTCATTGATAAAGATCCCCAGCGACTTTGTGCAACGAATTTGTATTATGGATATTCCCTTTTTTGTTTTTATTGGTAATGGAAAAAATCAAACTTTATTTTTATTCTTCAAATGAATTAAGGAATGAATGTCTTTATTCGTAGCTCTCTTCTACCATGATAATGGATTTTTTACATGTATTATTGATCATTTAGTTATTAAAGGCCACTACAATCCTATTTCATCCAAGAAACATTTTATCTGTCACCTCTACGAAAATAGCCTGCCAAACTTTGAGAACTTTAAGGAGCTCACCATCCATTATTTTCATTGGTGCCATAATTCCTTAGTCAACGATGGGGGCTTACGGTGAGCTAGAGTGTGACTTGCTAAGTTTAAAATTTGCTTAGATTTTATTTGAAACAAAATTAATAAAATCCAACAAAAATATACAAGTATATGTATTATGAATGTAAAGATGAATCTTAATTTAAGCTTGAAGTACTCAACTTCTTTGATATTGTTGCAACTAGTACAACCAAAATGGATAAATAATCATTTTAATAGACTCCTACTACTCTCTTAAAACTCACCCTATCAGCAGGCCTCTAGATATTATTTATTACCATTTCCTCAATTAATTCATAAACATCCTAAAAAAGCATTGACATAAAAGAACCTCTAGCTGTAACATCAATTATGGCTCTAAGGGATCCTTCCAATCCATTATAAAAAAGTTTGAATTATCAAACAAATAGGTAAGGTATGGTGAGGGCACTTTCTAAGCATCTCTTTTAATCTCTCCCAACTAACATAAGTAGGTTATCTTTCTAATTGAGTAAAATAAGTAATATCATTTCTAAGTTTTGTAGCCTTAAAAGGTGGGTAATACTTTCCTAGAAATCGAGGGCCAACTCATTCCATGTGGTAATAGAGCCAAGGGTTTAGAATTTAGCTGCATTTTTATCTTGTCTCTTAAAGAAAATTATTGCAACTTAGAATTCAAGATTGATTTTTATGTAATGTGATTTTTTGATGATAACAAAATATTATTGTTATGATTACTATTTTCTCCTAACATATATTAGATATATTTTTATTTGTATGGTGTGTACTAACACTTCAGGGAAATCATACTCCAAACTACTGAAGACTTCAAGACAGTAGAATAGGATTTCATGTAATGTAGTCATTAATTTTTATTTTCTTTAGTCTGAGAGAGTATAATTGTAATTGTGTAACTATGCACACACAGATGGAGAGTAAAATTGAAATTGAATTTTTTTTTACCCTGTTCGTACTGTATGATGTTAGTTCATACATACGACTGATAGTGTATGAAATAAGCTTCGTACAAGATCATGCATATAAATTTTAATTGTTCGTACAGATGATCTACATATCATACAAACAACTAATAGTGTACAAAATAAGCTTTGTACCAGATCATCCAGATGAATTTTAATTGTTCATATAAATAATCTACATATCATACAAATAACTAACAGAGTATGAAATAAGCTTCGTATCAGATCATCCAGACAAAATTTAACTATTTGTACGAATGATTTGTAAATCATACAGATGACTAACAGTGTACAAAATAGTGTTCGTACAAAATTGACTCATGATTCTTGAACTATTTTTACTGATGATCCATGATTATACTGTACAATCTGACTCATTTTCATTTTGAAATTTCAATTTATGGATGATTGTTTATGTGTATTTTATATAATGAGTCCTAAAAACTCAATTATGATATATTTGCTATAAATTTCTCTTAAGAGTGAAAAGAAGAGTTATTTGGGAGAGTGTTTGGGAATGGAGAGTGAGAGATCTTGCAAGAAGAAATTGTGAGGGTTTTACAAGATTGCCCAAAGGTGAGGATCTCTTAGTTGCTTTTAAAACTCTATTTTACTTTTTTGAAGACTCTTAAGAGAAGATTGGGTATTTTTCCTTCACCAGGAGGGTGAAAAAGGATGATAGTACTATGCCTTCACTAGGAGGGAGAAAAAGGACGACGCTACTCTGCTTTCACTAGGAGGGTGAAAAAGGATGACGCCACTCTGCCTTCACCAGGAGGGTAAAAAAGGATGATGGTTCTCTGCCACACCAGGTTGGTGGAAGAGAGATTTTGTAAAGGCTTCTCCGCCTTGATGTGGGAGCAAAAGGAGAGTCACTTATGTTTAGTGCAATACCTGAAGGAGTCTTCAGGGATATGATGTAGGTCTTGTTGGACCAAACCACTATAAATTTTTTTGTTATTCTTTTCTTTTACTTTTTTTTATTACATTTTTATTTTTTTTCACTTTATATTACAGTGGTTGAAAAATATTTTGCGAAATCTATCATTGAGTAAAATTTCTTAAAATATTTTTTTAAAATTCAAGAGATTTTTTAAATTGCCGATTCACCACCCCCCCGGTTAGCCTCGGGCTAGTCCCCCCCCCCCCCCCCCCTCTTAGTTATCCTTGGGATTGTTCTATTAGGTCTAACAACATGTGCAAACTTTCAAAAATGGGAATAATCTAAGTCTACCACTATAAAATTTTTTTTATTCTATTCTTTAACTTTTTACTACATTTTTTATTTTTATTCATTTTATATTATTGTGGTTAAAAAAAAAATTGTGAAATCTATCATTGAGTAAAATTTCTTAAAACGGTTTTCTAAAATTCAAGATATTTTTTAAATTACCAATTCATCTCCCCCCCCCTTTGGTTATCCTTGGGACAGTTCTATTAGGTCTAACAACCTGCACAAACTTTCAAAAATAGGAATAATCTAAGTCTACTGGCATTATCACTAATATTACTATACTTAAATATTAAATAAATTTTTAAGAAATTTATGAAATATATGTTAAGATCTTTAGTGGGAGTTTCTCCAAACTAAGAATTTTATACCCTCTAAATGATTGTAGTCTTTAATTCAAAGTTATTAGCTTGGATGGTAGGCCTATTTATGATTTAATGAATTTCATCTACCATAGGATTTGTTAAATCTTTAAGAGGTCTAAAATGATCTAAGTCATTAATAAGGTCATCAATTTCCAAAAATGTTTTGGTGGTTCTAATTTTAGAAAGGGTTCAATCAATTTTTAAATAAAAAACTAGCTATAGTTTCTTTATATAGCTTCTAAGCATGCAACAATAATTGTGCAATCAATAAAATAGAAACAAAAGAATATTGTAGGACTAATAATGCAATTAATTAAATAATATAATAAAATTTTTAAATAAAATAAATTCTTTCCTGGTAACGGTACCAAAAACTTTATCGGGATGGTGGAGTAACCTTAAGAATTATAAAAATAATAGGGCTCTATCAATCTGTAAATAATTATTAGGCATTTTAATATAAAAATTATAAAAACCTCACATAACATACATAAGTATACATGCCAAGTCAAGTAATATAGTGATAGAGTTGAGTATCGATCTCATGAGAAAAAATACTTACTTGTAAATACTACCACTTTTAACTATAATTACACCTAGTATATTTAAAACATCATTAAATTATTGATGACGAAAATTCATTAGTACTCCACATTCCATTTACACCATCAATCCAAACTTAGAGAATTTAACCAGACATGAAGAATAAGTGAAACAAACTCATTTTTATTAATTACACAAAAGATAGAAAGTATACAAGAAATATCACTAGATGTGTTCAATGATCTCCTCTACACTCCTTCTTAAACTTATAAAATTGCTTCCACAAATATAAACCAAAGCTTCTTTTGAAGTGGATATAGTGCTTGGTGGAATCAAAGAGCAAAAGTAAGATGGCATGAGGAAGGAGATACGAATTCAAGGTTTTTTCAGAATTTTGCTTCGGAAAGAAGAAATGGAAACCGTATTAATCAGGTCAAAGATGAGTTCAATATGATACAAGTGGAGGAAGATCAAATTGAGAAGGTTTTCACTAAATGTTTTATAAGAAGGGGTTGATGGCTATTAAATTGGATATGGAACAGGCGTATGATAGTATGGGATGGATAACACTTCCTCAGGTTCTTAAGTGGTATGGCTTTCCTACTATGTTTTCTAACTTCCTTATGGAATGTGTTGTAGAAGTGAGGTTTTCTATTATCATCAATGGAAGGAACTCCAATTGGATTTGTGCTCAGAGTGGTTTCCGTCAAGGATGTCCACTTTCTCCGTATCTCTTCATATTGTGTTCTCAACTCATTTCCAACTCTTTAGAGCAAAGGGGGAAGAATCTTGGCATTCAGACTTCACCTAGAGGTCCAAGGATCACACATCTTCTTTACGCAGATGATGTGTTGATATTTTCTCATGTTTCCATTACTTTAGCCAATGCACTGAAGACTATAGTGAAGGATTTTTCTAAGTGGACAGTGCAAAGAGTCAATGTCAGCAAATCATAGATTTTATTTGGCAAGGTGGTTAGTTATTCTATGAAGAAGAAAATTGTTAGAGTTCTCGGCTTCAAGGAGGTCAAGGAGATGAAGTATTTGGGAGTGAAGATTTCACTTGGAAGAATTAGGATGGCAGATTTTCAAGAACTTATGAGTATGGTAATGGACAAACTCAACTCTTGGGGTAAGAAATCATTATCAATGGGAGGTAAACTTACTCTCATTGAGACTTCTTTACTTTCTATACCAAATTTCCTTATTACTCACTCTTTGGTTCCCAAAAGAGTTTTACATGAGTTAGAAAGACTTTGTAGAAATTTTTTATGGCATAAGAATAATGGGTCCAAAAGTATGCATTATATTGCTTGGGGTGAGTTATGCAAGACGAGAAGTATGGGTGGGTTGGGCTTGCACTCTACTTTATTAAGAATTGGTTCTTTGAAATCTAGATTGGCTTGGAATTTTATTCAGAAGCTGGACTCTTTATTACATAGAGTTTTGAAAGCTAAATATGGTGACGATGTTATGAATGATGATCAGAAGAAAATCACTTCTAGTGCGTGGAAGATTATGTTGGATGGGGGAAAGAATTTGAAAACTGCTATAAGATGGAAGGTGGGCAAGGGTGACAAAATCAATGTCTTGAATGATGTCTGGTTGCTGGATAGAAGCATCAATCCATGGCCAACATATGTGGATTGTGAATTGCTAGATGGTATTTATGTTCAACATCTTTTGGTAAACAATTGTGAATTGAATCTCAATTTGCTACAAAGGGCCTTTCATCCGGAGCTTATTTTTTTAATTAGACAAATTCAAATTGATTATGTGGAGGAGGATACTATGGAGCTGCTGAAATGGTGTTCGGGTAAGACTGTCTCTGCAGTGGTATATGAATAGTTGTTGTTCAACAGATATACCTTTGAAGATGTTGGTTTTTACAGATGGTTGCAGAAGCTTAAACTCAGTAAGAAGGTTGAAATCTTTTGGTGGAGGTTAGGTAAAGCTGTGATTCCTACTAATTTATTTCTTAAGAATCATAGGATCACTGAGATTGATGTTTGTGCTAGAGGATGCCAAGTGGTTGAATCATATGAACATATAATGGTTCATTGTAAATATATGTTGGAAGTCATCATGATGATGCGTGAATGGGGTTTTATGATTCCTGTTTTCAGTTCATTGGATTGCTGTTTATATGAGCTTAAAAGGCTATCAAATTGTAACTCTGGTATTGCCAAGATCTATTGTTCAGTGGTATATTTATCCTGGAAGAACCGGAATTATGTGAAGCATGGCAAGGATGCATTGCCTTGTTCTATGGTTTCTTCTAATGCATTATTCTTAGCTATTTCCAAATCTAGTCCATATCTTACTAGTTGCGGTACTAATATCCTTAGGGAGTCTCCAAATACTTGGTGCCCTCCACTGAAAGATTGGATTAAGATTAACTTAGATGCCTCTTTGCTTAGCT